TTCAATTTACAGAACAGGATATAAAACTTCTAACACAAGTTAATATCGGAGTGAAAATTAAACAATTTGTTCATGTAGGAGGTGTAGGTCTGCATACACAGAAACAAAAGTGATTTAACTTGTACATGGCAGAGAATTGAGCAGTGAGACTGCAGAGACAGGATATATAAACTAAAACTGCTCTAGTAAGCTAAAGTTGTTTTAATGCTTACAGTGTCCCTTTAACTGGGGAAAAATGCAAGTTAGGTATCTAGACATGCCTTTTATACTGCCTGATGACGGAGATGCATTAATTGTCATTCTAATTGGTTGGTTTTGAAAGTCAGCAAATCAGAGGTCATCTCACAAGTTTTACTAGTAATCACATTCTCCGATACCATGTCTGGGATTCCTGTTTGTTTGATATTTCAGTGAATTGTAAAGTATATTTTATGCTTTTAATGTATGTGTACGTGTTTTTTTCAGTGCTGCAGCTATGAGCTAACCTCAACTTCCTTTGATCTGATGACTGTTGAAGCACTACTCTGGGACTACCAGTTTTGGTCTGTAAAGCACACAGCTGCACAATTATATATAATGTTGCCTTTTGAACAATGTTTCTATTTCTTCTCATTTGCATTGTATGCCCTGGCTATGCCCGAACGGAACTAAAATGTGATGGTAAATGCTAAATCCTTATTGTAAATTTTATAGGAAATGGAGAATCATATATTAAAAGGTTCAATCATGTTATAGGTGGTTTACTGTGTTTTTTATTGAATGGTGAAATCTCCAGAGACGGGATGATTCCCCTTTAAAACAGCGTTAATTCTCAGGAAATTCATCAAAGCATGTGTTTTCAGCAGTTAACATCAGTAAATGACAACAAATAGTTAGACTTTTGACTGCATTTCAACAGCTTTCTATTTGATGCCCAGGGTGTTATTAAAAGGCTTAGAAAGGTTGAGGCAGAAGAGAGAAAGCTTAAATATACAGAGACAGTTACGAGTTGTATGATGACATTCAGCTGTGTGTGTGTCTGGTTTTCTCCTTAATACCAAATTACACATCATAGCCTTGTCTTGGAGAGATTAAATTCTAATTGCCTGAGGGACGCATTACATGCCTGACAATTAGATACAACTCCCTTACCCTTAAATCTATGTTAATAAAATGTCATATTTTATTCCTCCATGTGGGATATTTGTACTTATGCAAAACTACACAATTGCTTTTTCAATCAAATCATGCAGTCATGCATAAAATGTATTAAAGAAGATTGTTTTGTATGGTTTTTGTTTCTTTTGCCTTATTATGTCATTGGTAGCAATTAGATCATGCGGTGAGATTACGTCTGTCACTTCTAATTCATCTTTCATTAAACGCCCCCTGTTGGGCAGAGTGTCTGCGCCTGTCACATCCTTCACACTCTAGGTTTTTATCTCCTAAAAATATGTCAACAAGTATACAGAAAGAGGGTATATTAGTAGGTTTGCTAATTTTTTTTTAATTCAGAATTTTGAATATGACAAAACAACAGTTTGGGAAACAGAAATAATTTAGGGAAAAATGAGTAACCGAGCTTTACAGGAAAATAAGCATGAAAAAATAAAAATGGAGGAAGAGATAAAGGAGGGTGGAAATGGGAAAAGAGAACCCAGAAAAGGAGATGCCAGTGGGTTAAAGCATATTGGGGAAGAGAAGTGGAATGAGAATGTAAGAGCCCCTAAGCACCTAAAATCATCCTAATTCATATGTGACTTTAATTTCTCTGTAAATATATACCAATCCTAGGAGGAGTCCAGATTCCATATACTGATTCACGCTTTTGTTGCTGCTATAAGTTCTTTACAGGAACGGAACTTCTCATTAAACACCATCCATTTCCAGAAGGAGGTTGAGTTGGGAAAGTGAGATGGAAGTGTGTCTTCTGCGTAATAATAATGCTAAATTTCCAGTAGAACTAGGCCACCATGGACTTTTGGGAGGATAACAATAGTAATTGATGCCATTTCTTATGTCAAAATATTTAATTATGTATTGTCCGAAATGACTACAGCTAACCATAACTTGCAGAGAATATGTCAGAGACCAGAGGTAGAAAAATACAGGCTAGTCACATATACAGATCCTTAGTGGGGTCAGGCTCAACATGAATGCCTGAAAAAGTAAACTATACAAAGTAGCAACAGGTAGGAGAATATCCTCACCAAGCTCTGAATGATTAAGCTAGCTGAAATCAATGGTTACCAGGATTCAGGAGTAAAAGGTAAAACAAGTCACTAAACTAAATTTTAAGGATATAAATAGCAAAAGCCTGTACATCATTTTTGCATTGCAAAAATGTGCGTGCTCAAGAATGCTCGACTGACTCAAGTCATATTCAGAATGATCTAACTTACTAGAACTATATAGTTGATGACATTTCCAGTTTGGGTGTTCTCTTATAGCACACATATGGCTGCATTACTTCTACTCTATCAGGAGGTTACATTTATATCATTAGCAACTGTTGCAAGCCCTATTGTGATTTGCCCCCTCTATTCTAATGGACTGCATAACATCAGTAAACTTGGGGACTGCAGAAACTCGGTGTAGGTGTTGCAGGTTGTTTGATGCTTTGACCTTATAAGCAAATGCACTGTTTTTCATAGCTTCAACCCTCATTAGGAGGCTCTAATGTTCTGTCCGGACAGTCTCTTTTTTATATAGACTGCTAGACACTATATATAGTTTCCTTTTTATGAGGATTAGCCTGCACCACTATAACAGTCTCCAAGTGTTTATATATAGATATAAATATAGAACATTGGGCTTGCTATCTGGCTTTGTTCAATTGTAGTCCTTTCTGCTTCTACACCTACCCCTGACAGCCAACCTCTCCCGCCCCCAATATCTGTAGAGCCTTTCGGGCTCTCTTTATTTTTGTATGGTTTTTCCAGTGTCTTCATGCTTATAATCATGATTTATAATAAAATTGTGTACCTATTGTTTTTATTCTATCTTTTTAAGGGGCCTTTTGTGTCCTTTGAGTCTTCAAGCCCGTTGGACATTTATGTGTTTGTTTGTATTTGACTTTTAGGGTTACCCCCTTTTCAGGTTCCCTTTACACAGCATCAATCCCCATGAGGGACTAGTCTTTTTTTGGTTTCATTTCCAGTTTGCAGCATCATAGATGCATTTCATACACTAGTTATTTTTATAGAAATTGTAATTTCTGGAAGAAAAGGAGCAAACATCTAAAGTGGAAGAAACCGGTAACTTGGTATATGTGAACTTAAAGGAAGGATATTGGAGGAATGAGTAAAAGATAAAGCACGTGTGGGTGCAGTGTAATTTTGATTGCCATAGCATCTGTTGATCAAACCAAGAGAGGAAAAAAATAGTTTTCAAAAATAAAGTCTGTGATTCTGGTAATGGGATATTGAGAATTTCTGATTTTATCATGTATATATGAAGAGTACATTATTGTTGTGCCCCTCAAACCACTGATGATGGAGTCAATCATCAGATTCCAGTAACAAAACATTGATGGTTGCCTTTATGCGTGTTACATGCCCCATAGAGAGCCCCATTATTCTTCACTTTTGGCAATGGACCAGTATATTGTCAGGATAAGCTAAACCCTAACACGCAGAACTTAGATCAGACAGAAAATGTATATAACAGAGACATTGTATATTACCAGTCCTTAAAGTTGCCTGGGCATACAGCAAAAAAAGATCTAATATAATGTAAAAGAGAACATGGTCATGCATGACCTTATGGTAGATTAATCATTTCATTCTGCAAAAACATTGGAAAACAGTTTAGTGTCTTCATTCAATAGGAAGGTCAGACGGTAGCACACATGAGAGAATGGAAATGGAGAAGGGGTTTTACAGGTCTTGAAAGTTGTAAGTTCAAAGGCTCTTTCATCTAAAGAGCTCTTCTTCTAAGAAAGTTATTTCAGTTTCCAAGGTAAGCATTGCCCTCCAGTCCTGAGTGGACGTGTTTCGTCTTAAAAGTAAAACTTACTCAGGGGCATCCAGAAAGGAAGGCCCCTGAGGAAGTCTTACTGTTAAGACGAAATGCATAATTGATTCCAGGTTTTCTCGGGGCACTTTACAGTACTTGGTGGATTGGAAAGGTTATGGACCAGCCGATCATTCTTGGGTTCTGGCATCTGATATACATGCTGGCTGCAAGATTCACTATTTTCACGCCACATTTCCTCTCAAGCCTGGTCCTGCCCACCCGGTGGACGTTCTTCAGGTGGGGGGGTAATGTCACGTATTCATCCGCTTATAAAAATGTGATTAATGGAATTTACTGTCCACACAGGAAAAGTTGTGCTGAGCAACAACCAAATCCACAGAAGGGTTAATGCTGAGCAGCAATTATGCAAATGGGAACCTGGTGCTGCGTTCTGGGTCAAAGGCCTGTTACAGCCTATCAGATCTAGAGGAGGGGTATTTAGTGCCCTGCCCTGTCGTGGTTTCCCTTGTGGCTGTCCGAGAGCACGTTATTGATTCTGGTAATTCTGGTTATTTGACTTTGGCATTGTTTTTGACTTCCCTGTTTTCTGGCATCCCTGACTCCTGGATTTTCCTTATCGTTGTGTCTCTTTCTGTTTCCCTTGACCTCAGCTATTCCTGACTATTCTTTGGTACGTTAGTCCGGCCATTCTAAGGTCTGGTATATGTTACCTATCAGTCCTCTGTGTTACACAATTCTACGTGCTGGATCATTCTGTAATCCTGACAGTGCTGTATCACAGCACATTAATAGAAAGTGATGTGGAAGGGGAAAAAGTGTGGAAGAAAAAGGTGCACAGGCAGCAGGGATGACTGCAGCCTCGAGAGGATTGTCAGGAAAAGGCCATTCAAAAGTGTTGGGGACTTTCACAAGGAATGGACTGAGGCTGGAGTCAGTGCATCAAGAGCCACCACACACAGACGAATCCTGGACATGGGCTTCAGATGTCGTATTCCTCTTGTCAAGCTGCTCCTGAACAACAAACAACGTCAGAAGCGTCTTACCTGGGCTAAAGAAAAACAGTCCTTATATCTGATGAGAGCAACTTTTGCAACTCATTTGGAAACCAAGGACCCAGAGTCTGGAGGAAGAATGGAGAGGCACACACTGCAATATGCTTGAAGTCCAGTTTGAAGTTTCCACAGTCTTTGTTGATTTGGGGAGCCATGTCATCTGCTGGTGTTGGTCCACTGTGCTTCATTAAGTCCAGGGTCAACGCAGCCATCTACCAGGAGATATTGGAGCACTTCATTTTATCTTCAGCAGACGAGATTTATGGGGATGCTGACTTCATTTTCCAGCAGGACTTTTCACCTGCCCACAATTCCAAAAGCACCAAAGCCTGGTTCAATGACCATGGGATTCCTGTGCTTGATTGGCCAGCAAACTTGCCTGACCTGAACCCCATAGAGAATCTATGGGGCATTGCCAAGAGAAAGATGAGAGACATGAGACCGAAACAATGCAGAAGAGCTGAAGGTCGCTATTGAAGCATCCTGGTTTTCTATAACACCTCAGCAGTGCCACAGGCTGATCGCTTCCATGCCACGACGCATTGAGGCAGTAATTGCTCAAAAGGGGCCCAAACCAAGTACTGAGTCCATATGCATGCTTATACTTTTCAGAGGCCCAATATTGTTCTAATTACACTCCTTGTTTTATTGATTGCATGTAATATTCTAATTTACTGAGATTGTGGATTTGGGGTTTTCATGAGCTGTAAGCCATAATTATTGCACTTATGACAAATCACGGCTTGAACTATCTTTCTTTGCTTGTAATGCCTCTATCTCATATATTAGTTTCCCCTTTTATGTTGCATTACTGAAATAAATGAACTTTTGCACGATATTCTAATTTTTTGAGTATCACCTGTATGTGAGTTTAACCTTGAATTTACTTTTATCAAAAGTGTTTTGGACGTATTGCACTATTTGGTCCTTTGTTTTATAGTTTTGTAAATATACTTTTTGCATTTTATATTGAGGATTTTAAAGGAACCTTTTATATCTACAATATTTAGTGAAAAGGGTAAATATACCTGTTTCGTTTTATTGTGTGTAAACTTGCACTCAGTGGTGTATCCTGGTTTTGTGCTGCCCTAGGCAGGACAAAACTCAGGCGCCCCCCCTCCCCCCGCGCCAGCCCCACCCAACCCTACACACACACACAGTCAGACACAAACACACACAGTCAGACACAAACACACACACACAGTCAGACACACACACACAGTCAGACACAAACACACACACACACAGACACAGACACACAGACACACACAGTCAGACACAAACACACACAGTCAGACACACACGCAGTCAGACACACACACAGTCAGACACACACACACAGTCAGACACAACACAAACACATACACACACAGTCAGACACATACACAAACACAGTCAGACACAAACACACACACACACACACAGTCAGACACAAACACACACAGTCAGAGACACACACACAGTCAGACACACACACAGACACAAACACAGTCAGACACAAACACACACACATACACAGTCAGACACACACTCACAAACACAGACACACACACAGACACAAACACACACAGTCAGACACACACACACACACACACACACAGACACACAGACACATACACAGACACACAGACACATACACAGTCAGACACAGACACATACACACACAGTCAGACACAAACACACACACACACACCCACAAACACAGTCAGACACACACACACATTAACTTTTTTTTTAAATTTAAATCCCCCCCCCCAACCTCCTTACCTTTGGGAGTGCTGGGGGGGGGGGTCTCTCTCCCTGGTGGTCCAGTGGCTGCAGGTCGGGCGGGCGGTGCTGGAAGGCGGGCAGCTGGCGAGGGAGCTCTTCCTATGAGCTGACTGCTCAGCTCCCTCGCGCGCCGGCTGCAGAGTGAGGCTGGGAGCCGGAAGATGACGTCATCTTCCGGCTCCCAGCCTCACTCTGCGGCGCACGAGGGAGCTGAGCAGTCAGCTCATAGGAAGTGCTCCCTCGCCGGCCGCCCGCCTGCCAGCGCCGCCCGCTCGGGATGTCAGTTAGCCGCAAGGCTAACTAGGCATTTGCCATGGGCATTTGGGGGGCGACGTTTTTTGCCGCCCCCTGAAAAATGCCGCCCAAGGCAAATGCCTTGTTTGCCTCGCGGCTAATACGCCCCTGCTTGCACTGCATGATTGAGAGGGATGTGTTAGTCTGCTTAGTATTTGTCCACCTCTGATTCTCCTAGATCTAAGAGCACAGGGGATATCCACTTCAATGCTAAAGCAGTGGTTTTCAATAAGTGTGTGGCCACAAGCCATCTGAAAGTGTACACCAAACACATTGACTTCAGGCCTGTAACTGGTTGAATGTAATCCTAGAAAAGCGGCTCTGTCAAACCGAACTTACATTTCCCCAATTGCTGACTATGCTCTTCCTCTCTCCTACTCTGTCTTACGTTTTTAGTTAGACATTGCTGGAAAATGAAAAAAAGAAAGACAAAGTATGGGCTATTTTGTCTTATGTATTTTGCCTATATATTGACCTTTGACACAAGGAGGAGCTTAAAGGGACTCTCCAGTGCCAGGAAAACAAACCGTTTTCCTGGCACTGCAGGTCCACTCTCCCTCCTACCCCACACCTCAGGTTGCTGAAGGGGTTAAAACCCCTTCAGTGACTTACTTGTATCCTGGTTCAAGGTCTGCCCACGCTCCTCCCCCGCCGACATCATCCGGCGCGGGAGACCTATTGCGCATGCGTGGCCAGCAACGTGGGAGAGCTAATACGCATGAGCGGCAATGCTGCGCACGTGCATTAGACCTCCCCATAGGAAAGTATTGAAAATGCTTTCAATGCTTTCCTATGGGGATTTCAGCGACATTGGAGGTCCTCTCATAGCGTGAGGACGTCCAGCGACGCTATAGCACAGAAAATCTGTGCTATAAACCCGGAAGTGCCCTCTCGTAGACAGCTACTAGAGGAGGAGTTAAACTGCAATATTTACCTTGCAGGGTTATGAAAACTGCAATATTTACAGTTGCAGGGTTAAGGGTAGTGGGAGTTGGCACCCAGACCACTCCAATGGGCAGATGTGGTCTGGGTGCCTGGAGTGTCCCTTTAAGTACTCACCCCTTCTCTGTATTCTCTCGTTTCCTCCTTTTGCAATTCTCAAACGTTCTGTCTTGTAGGCTAGGGTGCCAGCGTAATGACTGAATTTCATCTGAACTGAATGTCGACAGTTGCTCCATTCATTTTCCGACTAAATTTGGTCATTTTCTTGTACGGAATTTCATTTAGAAGAATTAAATTCCGACTAGGGCTGCGGCTGCATCTTGCAACCATCTAGTCTATCCTAAATGGATAACCTGTGGGATTGCCTATGGTCCCTCCCATCCCTACCCATTAGCAGCAGGTGGGGCCCTAAATGGTCCCCCCCAGCCCCCACCCAATATAACTGCAATCCCACATGTGTTAGGGAACTATCTACTAAAAGGCAGAAATATTAAAATTGGTCATTTAACCAACTTTATTAAGTAAAAAATACTTAGTATTAGTAAATAAGGGAGGTTAAATTCTCCCTCCTGTCCTTAATTGCTGTGCCACGAGTAGGGGCATTTCTACTAAACAGTGAGCAGCCAGTGCCAGTGCATTAGATGTCTTTTTTATTTCTTTCATCTTCTTTTGTTATCCGCAAAAAAGGCCAAATATAAATCCACAAAGTCACGTTGAATTATTAAAAAAATCACGGATCGCAAACAAAATAAAAAGCCATAAAAAAAATATTCCATCTTCAACTGGCGAGGGCTCCACTTCTGTTTTTATATATTACAAGAAGGAAGCCACGAGCCAGTATCCCCCTCCTTGTAATAAACTAAACGAACACAATTACAGTTTGGTCTTCATTCGTTTGTCATCATTTCCATTCATTCATTCGTCTTTCTTACAAATGGACGAAAAGCCAAAGTTTGGTCCAAAATTTGTACAAAAGGGAATGCCCAAGTCTACAGTGGGCATGCATGGGAATTTCACAGTCTGAGCTAGTGTGTGCAGATGAAGGCCCTGTGGTACACATAATCTAAAATAGCAGCGCCTAGGTCAAATATCCAGAGAAGACATTTAAGCAGTGCAATGGGAGACAATAGGGGGTGACTAAAGTGACAAAATGTAGAGTAGACAATAAAATATAATATGTATTTTATATTAAAGGGAAACTTCTTTGAAATTAACACCACTGAATAAAGCATTAAAATCAGCTATCACTCCAGGCTCCATAAGCACTAATTAACTGTACAGCAGAGCTTAGCTATGGAAAGCTTGCAGAAGCTCTGGCTAAGAATCTTCCGACCTCAGATTAGAAATCGCTCAAAAATAGGTTTATTGCTTAGGGGGTGGGGAGACACCAAGGCAATTCTGGCACCATAACCACTGTATTGCATGAGCTACGATTTAGGGGTCAGGATAAAGAGGTATCTTTCTACATTTAATTTTCTTTTTCACACTTGTTAACTATGTATTAAAAACATGCAAAATGAGTCAGCATTGCAATTGTTTTTCTCATCTGGCAATTAATTAAAACTAATAATTGCTATATGGAAAAATCTACCAATATTGTCTAAAAACACACCTAAAACTGGTGTCACACCCTAAGTCTACAGGTAGCATTCTGACACCATTATTAGCAGGGGCTTCAGCCCTTGTGAGCAATGCCCCTGCTAATAAGTCTTAGCTAGAACAATGTCCTACATATATTGCATACCTCTCTATTAAGGCTGCAAGTAAATATGACATTAGAAATACAGTGATGTTAAAAAAGATAGGAGGGTGGAAATGTTTATTTCCATGAAGTGGAACCATAACCCAAAGACAACGTCCCTTTAAATAAAGTGTGAATTAAAAGTGAATTTACATTTTAGGCCAAAAATAACCCTATCTATTCACTGGAAACACTCAAAATAGTGTCGTAAGCTAAGTCAAGAATTCTTTAGAATATCTAAATAAGGAAAGCTACATAACCAACAGCAGTTCACAAAACAGACATATTAGACACATTAGCGTGTAGTACTTAATGTTATGATATATATACCAATTACTTGTTATTTTTGTATTTTTTTTTTTAGTCGTGTATGTTTATTAATAGACCTGGAAACAGTAACCACACAATTTGTGTGGTTGAAAGTAGGTTATTAGGTTTAAAAAATAAACTTAATCACCTCCCACATCCTCCCCCTCCAAAAAAACCCTTCTACTTATTAAGAAATTAAATATCCTACAAAAATGAAAAACAAAATAAATGTCTTTGTGGTGCATCTGTGACACAAAAGGAGATACTTTTGTTTATGCAATTATAAAAGTGCAGAAAAAGACACTTTTGGAAAGAGGAGTATATATTTTACATATCCAAAATATTCAATTTGTTGGAAATTCCATCACTGGCAAAGAGGCAGATGCTTTTGGGCAACTAGCTTGCAGGGCTGCCAAAGGGGTCATGAGCTGCAGGTCCAAACCATTCTTCTGAAAATAAACATAGTGGGAGGTTTTGGGATGTCTGCTCAGTTCTGTAGCAGTTAGACAACAGACAGGAATTGTGCACGGTCTTTGCTAGTCCAGCACTGAGTGTCAGACACTGCAGTCCAGCGGGAAATATCCAAAAACTAATATTTTAGTGTTCTCTAGGCATTGGCTGGCCATGGTGAATATTTCCTGCTGGACTGCAGTTTCTGACACTGACCATGCTGCCAGACTAAAGTGAGCTTTTGTAATGTTCCTGGAGGTGTGAGAAACAGAATCTGTGCCTCTTAGGCACACACAAATCTCTGTGAATACTCACCCATACATTTGCAGGTAATACTGACAAAGAATACAGGATTATATGGTGGCACACTTTGCAATTCCAGCAGCTATATGTCAAATCTATAAAGTGCAAAATATAAAATGGTGGTGAGAGCACTCAGATCATGCAAATACAATATTTTACCAGAACTTTGGTTGTTGAAATATCTAAAAAAACATAAAACACAGAAACATAGTATAATACTGTTTAAAATATGTGCAAATGTTTTATGAGACTGGTTAAACTCACATATTACTGAGTCACTTTAAAAGCTGACTCAGACTTAGGGCTTGTATGGAGATGAGAAATCTCTATTCTGGACGTCCTGTATCACACTTTGTGGATCCGCGCTGGTAATATCCTCTAAAATCACTCCAGGATGCAGAAATCGAATCCAAATTAATTTATTATTAAAATACTTAACAAAATTAAAAATTAATCTATAAATCTATATCTATATTGCAAACTCCATGTAAATAGAACAATCCACACTGAGATCTGTTACTTTTCATGCAAAAAAGACATTAATTTGTACTTTCTTCACTGGCCAAAAGTTGCCTGCCACCCCATGTCCATCACTAAACTTTTTTCTAAAATGTTTGTTACTTTTTGCCAATATGCCAACCAGTGGGAATTTTTATCCATCTCAACATGTGTCCTCGATTATAGATCTAAAAATGTAAAATGTTAGTTTCTTTGTTTAAATGACTTAATACCACCAGCCTATATATGTGTTTGTCATGACAGCTAGTTTACCATTCCAACACTTTAAGGCCACACAACCACAATATATCCATTTATATGTATTTCTCTAGTTTGCAGGCCTTTTGGCTAATACCTATTCCTTAATTTTTCTTGGGTACACTTAAAAACATGGATTTGCAATATTACACCTTAAAACATAAATATAGATGGGTTAGGTCCTATTGCTATGGAATTATGTACTTGAGCCACTTGTTAGAAAACCAACATCTGCCAAAATATACATTGTAACCATGGAAACAAAGTGTGAGTTTCACTACAGAAGTCTTTTTAACTTAAGGCTCAGAGGTGTGACACCTTGTATGCGTTACCATGAAATATACTATGTTCTCGAAGGAAAAAAACCTTGTGAAATATAAACATATTCAATAAATGTATAGCTTAGAAAGGAGCACGAATGCCATGGAAACCGTGCCATGACCTATTATATATTGCCAAAACCCTTTATTCTTTCTGTAGTTTATTTGGCTCACCTCAAAACTCAGCGGGCTCAGCTTCATGGATGTCATGCATGTCAAGTTTTAAAGCGGCTTTTAAACACCTTATAAATGAACCCTTTTCATGGTCTAATGCTAAAACATGAAGAAAAAAACAAAACACAGTATTTATGTGTGTGTGTATGTATATATATATATATAGATATATATATATATATATATATAATGAAATGCACCAGAATATTACACTTCTGTAACTTTAATATTGGAATGGAATTTCACTTACAAATGTCTGGCATAGGGATACCTTTATACAATGACAAATTAGTCTCAATTGAGATTTGTTTTACAACTTACTCCTTAATAGTCTTTATGAACCATATGCTAAACAAAATGTATAAAAACCTCATCCCTACCGTTAGCATATGACAGGATCCTTCAGTCATATACATGCACCTTGGGTCAGACAGTGTTTGAAAACTCTGTGGTCTCTGTGGTCTTCACTGCTTCCTCACTCTCTACTCAGAAGGAGGAAAGAACTTAGAAACTAACTGTTGGGTTTAAAACACTGCCTGACCCAGGCCTGGACTCATGGGATGAGGAAATCACAGGACCTCCCCGGCCGTTCCATCTGAGCGCCGGCCCCGCTGTTTTCCATGACAGGCCGGTGGAAAGATCAACGATCTGCCTCACAGGCCCACATGCAGTGAAAGGCGGTCGCTGGCTGGGGAGGGAGACAGCCTGGAGAGGAACCCTGGAGGAGCTCTATCTTGCAGTTCCGCAGGGTTCCTCTCGTGAGATCCAAGATCCGGAGTGCTCCAGGTTTCGCGAGGGTGAACTCTAGCCCCACAGGCTAGAGTTCACTCACCACTAACACCACCAGGGATGGCACCAGCATGGCCCCCCCTCCCAGGCTAAAGGTAAGAAAGGAGGGGGGATACAATCAATGTTTTTTTTATTTTTTATTAATATATATTGATAATCTGCACCCCCAACACACAAGCCCTCCAAACATAGTCACACCCACTGCACCCCTGGCACTCACAGCATCCTCACTCACACACTGCACCCCTGACACTCACACACACACACACACACTGCACCCTCACACACACACACACACACACACACAGCTTTCTCATACGCACATAGCATCCTCACTCAAACACAGCACCCTCACACACAGCACCCCTCACAACACCCTCACCCACACACACTCCACCCCTGACACTCACAGCACCCTCACACACTCCACCCCTGACACTCACAGCACCCTCACACACTACACCCCTGACACTCACAGCACCCTCACTCACACACTGCACCCTCACACACACAGCTTCCTCACACGCACATAGCACCCTCACTCAAACACAGCACTCATCACTCACACACTGCACCCACACACTCCACCCCTCTTGCACACACTCCACACACACACACACTCCACCCCTGACACTCACAGTACCCACCCTCACACACACACACACAGCTTCCTCACACGCACATAGCACCCTCACACACACACACACACACTGCACCCATCACTCACACACAGCACCCACACACACTCCACCCCTCTTGCACACACACTGCACCCCTGACACCTGACACTCACAGCACCCTCACACACACAGCTTCCTCACATGCACGTAGCACCCACACACAGCACCCTTACCCACACTACACCCCTCACACACATATTACCCTCACACACACACACACACACACACACTGCACAATACTCTTTTCTGGCATTTTTGTCTCCTGGTATCCCATCTATGGAGACACCAGAGACAAATTTAAAGCAAACATGTTATTAAATTTGCTTGCACTGTGCAGAACAAATACAGGGCCTTTTTCTCATGCTAGAGCTCTTCAGCAGAGCTTTGCGCATGGTCTGCCATGGAAGAGCATTGAACCAACATGCTCACTCTGTGATGGGGCAGGCTTGTCATTGGTGATGACAAAACACACCCTATCTGGCCTCGCCCCTTTTTCTTCCCAGTCTGGCCCTGGTCTGACCCAAGGTGCATGTATATGGCTGAAGGATTCTGCCATATACTAAAAGTAGGGATTAGTTTTTTGTTTTGTTTTACATTTAAATTTAAAACTTGATTAAAAGGATTATTATATTAAACATAGTTTTTGGTGACAGTTGTCCTCTGTCCTATTATACAGAGAAGCATATTATTTTAGGTTCTGGTTTCTTTCTAGTTTGGATGTGTTATAGAATAAGGAGATAAATGCTTGTTAGCCAGGGCATCGGAGAGGTTTCATTGTATTAATAAGAGCTATGTTATTGCTTCTGTAAATTAGAACTTCTTTTGAGCGTATAAGAAAAATAATATACTCTCAGATCAATCTTCAGATAAGGTAAAAGCAAAATTCTGTGTAATACTTCTAAAGTTTTATTGATAATCCAGCATTAGAGAAAAATGGGATTAGTGAATCAGAAGTCCTAGTCAGTAGCTATATGATATCACATGGACTAGTGAAACCAATAATATAGCCGGTCAAGTACTCTTTATACCAAAGGCCTTCCTTTATTAGGTTTTTGCAGACAATGAGGTGAGATTTCCAAGGGGTATTAGAATGCTGTTTAGTAGATGAGGCCATAGAAGCAGAAAAACCAGTAAGCACAATCAGGAATGCAGTACACAAGGGTCAGACAAAGAATGGTCGGAGAGGCAAAGGTCAGGACAGGTGGCACAGGATCCTTGTCAGTAGTCAGGCAGGGGTCAAATATCAGAAGGCAATAGCACAGGCACTGAAGGTAGGAACACAACAGGAGCAAAGTATAACTGAGCAAAGAGTCAAGGGTTGGTGGAGCTTAAATAGGCAGAGGAGTCGTGACCACTTACTGCAGCTTGCTTCGGCACGCGCACCACAGGATTCACTCTGCCCGGAGAAGTCAATCCCCCTTCTGTGGAGCCACACCTGGGAAGCATGATCGCCTGTTCCTGCAGGACCATAAGCAGCGGGCATCAGTGGGTGGGCTGGCTGGCCGCCCTTCATGGAGGGTCACTCTCCGGCACCTGGTCTCCGTGTAGAGAGAGGGAGACACAGCATGAAAGCACAACGCAGGTAGGGAGGGGAGAGGGGATAAGACAAGGGGAAGTTCAGAAGAAGTGGTGAAGTTCCACACATGATGGTCACATGATATATAAAAAAATACCATAGGTTAAAAGTAATTTCACATGTGGGGCAGAGTCTAACTGTTGAGCTAGCCGGATGTATTTTGGCCAAGCTCTGGGAATATATCACTGATTTAGCCGTTTTTTCTGACAATCGCTGATTTTATAAAGACAGACATAAGCTGTACACTCTTGTGGGCTCCTGAATCTACAATTTGTAGTCCGGTTGTTGGCAGTTGACATGATTTTCTGTGATAGAACAAGACTGTGGCCGACAGACGACTTGAGGAGAAGAGGGCACTCTGACTGCATGGACCCAATGTGCTTCCACCCCCTGGACTGGTGGGGGGGGACACACCCTGATGCTACGCAGACAGTGCTGAAGCGGAGGCAGACAACTCAAAAGAAGCCTTGACACTGATGACTCAGTCCTGATGTGGATTGCTACTCTCCTGGGCCATGGTTCAAATTGGGATATGTTCCAGCACAATAAGCACAGCCTAGGAAGGTCCTTACTCAGTATAAGAAGAAGCAGTCTGTCAGAGGACCCAGAGACCAAGTCCTGGTCACAGTTCGAGACAGGACTTGTGAGTCCAGTGTATTGAACTATATTACAGCCTGAGGCTGGTGGAGTGCAAATATGCGGGACTTGAAACTACCCTCCTGTCAGTGCAGTATACATGATATGATGGGCATCGGCTGAATATCTTGTTTGTAATAAACCTCTGTTGCCTCATTATGAGTGGCTCTCTAGATTTCTGTGGGCAGTTATGTCTCTAGCTTTATTTTCTTTGACATCTCTTTATGCAATTAGCGCCCGGTCTACTTTTTTTTTTTTTTAATTCTTTATTTTTGCTCAACAGACATAGTAAGCAAGCATCAATGTTTGGGCTTACGCAGAAGCCAAATTAAGAGTAATTTCTTGACATAGTCATGTAGTTCAATCATTACAATATGTGCCCATGCTTGATGGAACCACGAGGGCCTGCCATCCGTTAAGGGTTTTTACATACATAATATAATTCCCTACTGTATTGGTTTGACAGGAATACTCAGGTGTGCATGAGAAGTGTCGCTTACGCAGAAGCAAACTTTGGTATAACATTCAATTGTATAATATGTTTCATTTGAATCTTGTGGCGTTTTTGAGTATCTTTAACGTCAGTATCCGGTCGAAAGTTTTATATTTTTAGGCCTTTAGGTATAACTATAGGAGTAATAGTCTAAGGTCTGTATGATAATTCTAGGTCTCCCATTTCCTTCGCTACGTTGACCATGCCTGAAGAGGTTTGTATACTGAATACATATTAAATCAGGAAAGGAATCTTCCCGTTAAGAGACGGGAAGTGAAAGAAAGGAGAGTAGAGAAAGAGAGACTGAGTAGATAGTACGAAGTAAAGGAAGGTAAGATAGTGGGTGCAGCATCCGTGAAGCGGCGAGGGAAAGGCTAGGGGGCGAGAGCCGGGGGTGGGGGGGACAGAAGGCACTTCCACGACCCCTTATGCCACGTGTGGTGATTGAATCCCCCGGTCGGAGGAGACCTCCGTTACTAGGTCACCTTTACTTCTTCCTTTCGGTCTTATCTGTCTTCCCTGGATCCCACTACACTATTATCTCATGGCTCCCAAAGTCTTAGAAATGTTTCTGTCGATCCCTTTACTCTTGCTGTCAGGTCGTCCATAATCCTACATTCGCGGATCCTAGATATCACTCCCGGAAACTCAGGTCCGTCTGGTGATAGCCACCCAGTTGCTTCTGTTCGTCGCTTAGAGTTATTTTATGGACTAGTTTCTGCCCTCTCTTAGTCCATCCGTCTACAGACCTGTTTAATAGGTATACCCACGGATCTCTGGCTAAGGGCCTGTTAAATATTTGTTTCAGTAGGTCTCCAAAATCTAACAAGTTTTGGGCATTCCCACCACATGTGAAGGTACATTCCTCAGGCTCCACAGCCCCTCCAGCAGTCATCCGTATCCATTTTGTGCATTTTATATAATTTTACGGGGGTTGTATACCATCTAAACATGGTTTTCCACGTCTGTTCTTGTAGTGTGACACATATAGAAGCGTTTTTATTTGCTTCCCATATTTCTTGCCATTCAATGCCTTCTAGCTCTTCTCCTAGTTCTGTCTCCCATTGGTCGGTATAAGATAGTCGCCCCCATTGTTTGGTTTCTGTGCTAAGGTGGGCGTACATCAGGGTTATCATGCCCTTGGGGGTCCTTCTATGTAGGCATAGTTTTTCATAGAAAGTCATGCTTCCCTGAGCTGCTGCCTTTATGTGTGGTTTCTTAGCGAAGTCCCGGATCTGTATATATCTAAAGAAGTCTGTGGGTGTTAGGTGGTTATCTTGTTGAAGGTCTGCAAATTGGATGAGGTTCCCATTGTGGTATAGCTGATGGATCCGTTGTAGTCCTGTTCTTTCTAAGTTTCGAAAATCTCTAGGAGCCATTCCAGGCTGGAACTCCCTATTTCTGAGAATTGGAGTCAGGGGGAGGGGGAGGCCGCCAGTCCATACTTGATTTTGTTTGTGTCCCATATTTGGAGCGAATTGAGTATGGACAGACAAGTCACCCGTATCATGGGTCTATAATCTTTCGGGATCCACATAGTGAACTGGGGGACGTCCCAGCCCACCATCATGGATTCTATCTCGACCCATCTCCTCTCTTCCGGTGGGGAATGCCACATAGCTACCTGTGTCAGTTGGGCTGCAAGGTAATAGAAATATAGGTTTGGTAGGCTCAGCCCCCCTCTCTCTTTACGTCTATAGAGAACCTGTCTAGATATCCTGTGCCTCTTGTTCTGCCAAATGAAGTCTCCTATTGACCGTTGTAGTGGATTCAATTGTGTTTTAGTGACGCGGATAGGCAAAGCTTGGAATAAGAATAAAATCCTTGGGAGGATGTTCATTTTAACAGAGTTAATCCGTCCTATCCAGGAAATGGGCTTATCTATCCACCTTTCTAAGTCTCCCATCAACGTCCTGGTTAAGGGACCATAGTTTGCGGAGTGGAGGCGTGCCAGGTCTGCTGTTAAGTGTATACCCAGGTATTTCAAAGACTCTCTTTCCATCCTGATTCGATAGTTCTGCTGTATCCGACTTATTTCGTCTTCTTTCATGCCAATTGGCATAGCGCTGGATTTTTGCATGTTAGCCTTATACCCAGACAGTTCTCCGTAGTCCTTGATAACTTCCTGTAGAGCCGCTATAGATTCCAAGGGGTTTGTAATGGTCAAAAGAACGTCGTCCGCGTACGCTGAGACTGTAAACTTTCTGTCTCCTACCCGTACTCCTCCAATACCTGGATGTTGTCTTATCGCTTGCATCAAGGGTTCCAGTGCTAGTACAAACAGGAGGGGGGAGAGTGGGCACCTCTGCCTAGTTCCATTGTAGAGTCGGAATGGTTTCATCGGGTCACCTGTGATCTGTACCTGTGCTCTCACTTCATGGTACATTGCTTTCGTGGTAGTTATAAATTCTTCTGGGAATCCCAGGTGGTTCAGCACCGTGAAGAGGAATTGCCACCTCACCCTATCAAAGGCCTTTTCCGCGTCTATGGAGACCACTAAAGTGGGGACTTCGGAGGTCACTTGTTTCCAGACTAGATTTATGTTCCTCCTGGTATTCTCGAACAATTGTCTGCCCTGAATAAAGCCTACTTGGTCGGCGTGTATGAGTGAGTTTAGTAGTGGGTTCAATCTGTCAGCTTGGATTTTTGCCAATATTTTCAGATCTTGGTTAATCAGCGATATGGATCTGTAGTTTTCTGGTTGGAGCGTGTCTTTGCCTGGTTTGGGTATCAATACAATGGTAGCTATGGTCATGTCTGGGTTTAGAAGTCCCCCTTGTTTCATGTAGTCAAAGAGTCTCATCAGTTGGGGTGTAAGCTCTTCCTTGAAGGTCGTATAATACGTACCATCGAATCCATCAGGTCCTGGAGCCTTGTTACCTTTCAAGTTTGATATGGCTCTATATACTTCTTCTGTAATTTCAGCAGTCAGGCTATTTACTGCCTCTCTCCCAAGTTTGGTCATCCCGAGGTCATTCAGGTATCTGATGATATGTTCTTCTTTGTGTCCGTCAGGAGTGTTTGCATCCGGTGTGTGGTTGTATAGTCTTTTGTAGAAGTCCTCAAAAACCTTTGCTATCTCATCTGGCCTTGATTTTGTCGTTTCATCTGGATGTTTGATGGCCGTGATGTGGGATCATTCTTGTCTAGGTCGCAATGTTCGAGCTAGGAGTGAATCCATTTTAATGGATTTCTCGTAGAAAGTCCGTTTCGACCAGACCATGGATCGAGTGGTATCATCTAGCAGTAGCGTTCGAATGTTCCTTTGTACCGCTTCCAGTTTCTTATAGGTCTCATTGTCGGGTGTCGTTTGATGTTTCTGTTTAAGGTTTCCTAATTGACCCATCAGGGTGTCCAGTTGTACATGTTTCATTTTCTTCTTTCTAGTGGCTAATTTTATAAGGGTCCCTCTTATTACCGCTTTGTGGGCTGCCCATGTTGATCCCGCGCTGACATCTGGGGTGTTGTTTGTGACAAAATATTCCAATATTTTAGTCCGTATCTGTTCTCTTAGCTCCGGGTCCTGTAATAATGATATGTTTAGTCTCCACGTCCATGGCGAAGCCACGCACAGATTGCCCAACGTAATGGACACATCTGCATGGTCCGACCATGATATATTACCAATCTTAGAGCCTACAATCCTGGGCATGCCCGTTGCGTTAGTCAGGAAGAGATCTATTCTGGAATACGTACCATGAGGTGTTGAATAAAATGAGTAGTCCTTGTCTCCTGGGTGGTGCGCTCGCCATATATCCGTTAGGCCTGTGTCTAGTATAAATTTTTTAAACTGTCGATCTTGTCCACCTCTTCCATGGGACCTCGGTGTTCCGTCTCTAGTGCTCCTGTCCACTGCAGGGCACGGGGTAGCGTTGAAGTCCCCTCCCACATAGTCCATGCCATGTGGAAGTGATGAGATTTTCTCCCGGAGCGTGTTCCAGAACGAGGGGTCTGGTTGGTTCGGAGCATATACGTTAATCAGGTGAATGGTATGCGAGTATAAAATGCCTGATACGATAATGTATCGGCCTTCTGGGTCTATTTCCTGGGCCGTCTTCTGAAATGGGCAGCTGTTTCCGATTAAAATAGCCACTCCGTTGTGTTTACATTGCGATCTTGCTTCATGTGATCCCCTGAAGGTATGGTCTTTTAGGTTAACTTTGGCTTGTTTTGATAGGTGGGTTTCCTGGATATATGCAATATACGTCTTTAGTCTCTTTAATTCTTTAAACATAATGCGGCGCTTCTTGGGGGCATTAAGGCCCTTTACATTCAGTGTCGTGATTTTAATCATCGCGACGTGTTTGTTTAGTTCTGATGTGACAGTCCAGGACCGGGGTCCGTCAGCGCGCGGCTCAGTACTAGGTCCAATGTCCTCCCGGAGACCCCCCCACCTCCAACCGCTCCCCAAGGCCGCACCACATAAAGGAGAGAAAGAAAAGAGGGGATAGTGAAGAAGAGAAAAGACATCCGATTCCAATCAGATGAGTAAATGTAGAAACACTGGTCTTACTCTTTGCCAGGGTCTTGTGGGGAGCACGTTCCTTCATCCCTTCCATGGTCAATGCAAGGAGGAACTTAGGATCCTTGGGATCCATCACGGATGCACCTATTCAATTTGAGTTGACCTCTGATTCATCTAATCCGTATAAGTATATGCCTAGGGGTTTCCCCCATCAGGTCCTCCCCTTCATTCTTATTCGGCTATCAGTTTTAGGGTGTCCGGGGGCGCAGGATTCAAGGTCCCTTCCTCCCTTGACCCCCGTCATTCCGCCTCATGCCCTTGCCTTTCCCGGAGCGAGACCTGCTAGTCCCAGATATATCTCAAGTGTCTCAATCTCCCAGAGTGTGTACACTTCCAATACCCCATTCCCCCCTCCGCCTCTTAAGGTGTATATATTAGGCAAGTACCCCTCTCACTATATCTGACCTGCGCTTCTGTTGTGTGATGTTTGTGTTCGTCATAGCGTGACATGGTATCGTCAGTGAAGTCATGCATGGGAGGGCGCAATCGAATTATCCTGAGTCATATCAGGGATGTCTCCTATGTAGAGAGGATTTGCAAGTGGGTTAATGTACATCTTTCCAGGGGATTAGCTGATCTAATTTACTTTACTAATTTACATGTCTTGTGTGCAATGGATGTGTAGCATATCTTCCCTCTTATTTTTCTTTTTTGTTATGGCAAAATAGTAATCAACAAATAAACACAAAGGATAACGGAGAAGGATCAAGTTTCATGTTATTACTAAAAGATGTTTTTTTGGTTTTTTTTGTGTGTTCTCCCCTTATTTTCTTCTGTATGCATATAGCGACTGGGTTTATAGAAGTCGGGAGCCCACCTCTTTATATAGGTATCGGGGTGTCGCGGGAGAAGGGTTTCAGGGGAGAGTAATGTAAAGGGGAGGGATGACAGGGCCGTAAGGTGCCCATGCGTCCATATGTACATTAAGGTTAGTAGTGGCCCCCTGCATCACATGTATATTGGTGGGAAAGGAGTGGCCTCGTGACCCATATCTCGCTCCCGCCTCCCCCATCCCCCCTCCCTCCTTTCCTATTCCCCCCTCCCCCCATCCACGTGCTATCTTTAACGACATTGTATACATCAGTACAGTGCTAGAGTTTCTTTCAGTACCAACAGTGTTCCTCAACAAAGGCAGAAGTATGGGGCAGTCATAATTAGTCCAGAATGCATTATCCCAGAATGACTGCCTTATCCATCCATCTTACCCATACAAACAAAATATAACATATGTGTAGAACATCAACCGCCCCTTCCTCCCCCCCCTTTTTTATTTATTTATTTATTTTGTAATTATTATTTTTTTTGTGTGTGTTCTCCCTTTATTTTCTTCTGTATGCATATAGCGACGGGGTTTATAGAAGTCGGGAACCCAACTCTTTATACAGGTATCGGGGTGTCGCAGGAGAAGGATCTCAGGGGAGAGCAATGCAAAGGGGAGGGATGACAGGGCCATTAGGTGCCCATGCGTCCGTATGTTCATTAAGGTTAGTAGTGGCCCCCTGAGTCACATGTATATCGGTGGGAAAGGAGTGGCCTCGCGCCCCATATCTCGCTCCCGCCCCCCCCATCCCCCCTCCACGTGCTACCTTTAAGGACATTGTATACATCAGTACAGTGCTAGAGTTTCATTCAGTACCAACGGTGTTCCTCAACAGAGTCAGAAGTATGGGGTAGTCATAATTAGCCCAGAATGCATTATCCCAGAATGACTGCCTTATCCATCTATCTTACCCATACAAACAAAATATAATATATGCGTAGAATATCAACCGCCCCTCCCCCCCCCTTTTTTTTCCCCTTCTTTCTTTTGCCCCCTGTTTTTGATTGTATGGAGGTTAAAGGATTATCTATGTTTATAACTGTCAGAACATGTATAGTTATGCAATAGTGCTTAAGAGATTCGGGGGAAGGAAAGATCCCGGGCCTCAGAGAAGGACTAAATGCAAAAGATCATTCCTGGTGTCTTCCCTGTGCCCCTTTTTGTCGAATGGCATAATACAATCTGTCCCTTCTGTGTCTTCAAGGTGGGGTGTCCGTTGCGAGGAGGGCCGGTCCTCCATCTCCGAGGTGGTCTGGGCCTATATGCCAAAAAAAAATTAGGTGGGCATGGGCTCCGCAGGGATTGAGTGTTAACGCGTCCCCACCTCTTCGTGAGCCACACCCTGGTAGGATTCCCGGGGGCCCCCACAACCTGCGTCTCAGTCAGGGACAGTGTTTCGGGTTAGATCCTTTAAGGAGTTCCTTGAAGGCAAGTGCGGCATACCCCATACCCCTCCCGAGGCAGTCCTTGTGGGGATCAACTCCCTCTCCCACGGTAGCCCCAATCACCAGTTAAAGTAGGCTACCGATTTAAAAAATAACATTGAAGCTTAGCAGGAACTTGAAGTTAAACCTTAACTGAAGAGGGGGACAAGGTGAGGCGGGTTTCGATGTTTGCTCCCTGAGTACCCGGGGCAGAAGGTGAATGTCGTCATGACACCCAGGGAGGGGAGAGCCCTCAATTCCCTCCCAAAGGGATGACTTGTGTAACCCAGGGAAAAGCAGAATGGAAAAAATAAAAAGTTCAGTCACTGTAGGTTGGGAAGAGAAAAAGAGGTTGTAAGTGGCGTTGCGTAGTTGTTATACGATACCTCCAGTGCGTCAGCGGTGGCCTCTAGCTCCGACCTCTTGCCACTTCGTCTGTAGCTGTTGAAGTTCTGTAGGGTACATGGAGATATCTGGAAGTCGGGGAGGTGGTTGTATCCTGAGGCTTCGAAAGAAACGTTGGGGGTCCCCTCCTGGCATCAGGATATGTGTTCGGTCTCCCCGAAATACCATTAGCTTAAAGGGGAATCCCCACGCATATTTCAGGCCTGCTTCACGTAGGGCCACTGTGATAGGTCTCCACTCTCTTCGTTGTTGAAGTGTCGACGGTGCCAGATCTTGGTATAATGATATAGTGGTCCCTGCGTGTCTTATCGGTGCATCGTGGCTTTTTTCCATCAGCACCTCCTTAGTGCAATAATAAAGAAAGCGAACGATTACGTCCCGCGGGGTGTTATTGTTGGCCTTCTGAGGTCTCAGGGCTCTATGCACCCTTTCTATGTGCCAATGTTCTTCCGGGAGGTTGGGAAGGAGAGGCTTTAGGGTGGAAAGTAGAATCCCCCTCAAATCTTCCTCTTTCTCCTCAGGGAGGCCCCGAATGCGGAGATTATTCCTCCGTGACCTGTTGGCCATATCTTCCAAGGTTAGGTCGGTTTCCACCAGGTGCGATGTCATTCGGTTCACTCGCTCTATAACTGTGTTGTGGGCTAGCTCGATGGCTTCCATGCACTCTTCCAAGATGGCCGTGCGTTTTCCCAGGGCTCCTATCTCCGCCTGGAGAACTGCAGTTGATTTGGCTATTTCTCCTGCTAGGAAGACCCTGACTTCGGCCAGCTTGGCCAGCACAGTATCTTGGTCATTGTTTGGGGCCTCCTTGCCTGCCCTAGGCGATGTTTGCAGGGAGCTCCCGTCGCCATCTTGGCTTCCTGCACGGCCGTGCTTGTGCATGGGAAAATGGTCGAGGACAGAGCCGGAGCCCCCAGTTTCGGTTATTTTTTTCCCCTGCTTCTTAGGGGGTCTCTTCTCCATGTTGGGGAGTCTTGTGGGGGGTAACTTGTCAGGTTTGAGGTCGCTTTTGATTGCTTTTGGCGCAGTTGTGGCGGAGCTCTACCGAGACACGTCCAGTCTCATCGATGGTTCGGCCACGCCCCTCGCCCGGTCTACTTTCAATAGTTTTCTTCCTCTTACTTGTCTAGACTCTATTGTCAGCTAATCTAGTTCTACTAACCATCAGTATTATGTTAACATACCACTGGTATGTTGCCATTGCAGTATTGTTTTACTCAGCATTCACCTTGTCTGTAAGGTCTTCTCAGGTTAAATGTATTGTTTTAACTCACCTCTGATGGCATAGTTTATACCTCTTGTTTTGGACAAGTATGTCTAGCCTGTTTCTATTATATTTTCTAAAACTTTAAAAATGATGCAGTCTCTGAAAGGAGGTTCTCCCTCTATGCATGTTTCTATTCTTTCTAAGCCTATATACACAGATGCATGTTTGTTATAACTGTTTCCCTTTTCATGTACGTTTTTCAAGCTTCAATAAAAAAATTTAAAAAAATGCCATCATTACAGTTAATGTTTTATAGAATATAAAATATTACAACATAAAACATTAATAAGCATTACTTTTAACATAAGCAAGGTTCAGACAATGAAAACTAAATATAAACAAAATTTGTTTTAAAAAATAATTTTTTTTTTTTTAAAAGTGCTTTATTTACTTATCCTCATTCAAAAATCATTTCATTAACCACTTTACATTGTACTGGGTACTTTTCTGAATCATTACTCACTTTGGGTGACCAGTGATAGACTGTCTGCAGGAGAGGAAGTGGGACCTGTGCCTAGGGAATTCTAATTAATTAATTACTTAAGTGTTATACCATTTGAAGGTAAGATGTGGCAAGTGCCTTCTTGCCACTATAACCACTTCATTAACATGAAGTGGTCATTTAATCAATATAATTCCATGACCTACATATGGATATATAGAAAAGGTCATCTGCCTCTCGCACCTGTTGAAGAACTATTAACTTTTGGTAGGATTTGATGACTTTACCATACAGGAAGATTAATAAAGTCATTAAAGTTTTGGTGGCGGTCATTGGTATGTATAGAATCTCATTCCATGAAGAAGAGAAACTATAATTAACTGTAGTGAATCATAACTGTACAAAAAGGGGATTATTTACTAATTTCTAATGGCTCCATACTAGTTTATCCTAAAAGGTTCCTTCAGACATCTTAACACCATCCCTCCTGCTCTGGTGACCAAGAGGACAGTTTATTATGTTACCATTTAAATATATGTTATGAACACAAACCGTGTTATTATCTAAAGTTAATGCCTGCCCTGCAATTTGAATCGAACTATAATTCCCAAGAGACTTGCCTCTTTTATTGGCTAATCTTGGCATAGTTTGAAACACCTCATTTGTTGGACATCTTTTTGCAAGAACCAGCCAGGGCTTACCTAACATGGTTAACACATGTCTATTATGAAGGCCATAAAATCTTTAAAGAAAACCTCAGAGGTTTCATGCCAATAGGTGCCTATTTGTAGACAAACTTATATAAGAGAGAACTAACATTTAATTAGACAGAAAAGTAGCTAATTAAGTACATGAGTTATGCTTAATTAATCCATATCCATTCATAACATTATCTGACCATAGAGGACATATCAGCACATGTTCTGAAGATCATTAATTTTCATTCAAAATCTGGTGAGGTTAAAGTTATTAATTGCCGCAGTTTTCCTCTCCACCCTGCATTCTCTATTTTCAAAATCGCTAAAGGGTGGTTGGCAGGCAGCTATAGCAATGATCAAATAGCAGAAGGTGTTGTGTGCGCTATTATCTCATTCACACTCTCCTCTTTCATTTACCCTTTTTATGCAGGACATGGTAGATTTACCTCTTTGCAGAACCAAAAAAGTGTTTTCCTAGCTGCTAATGAGGTCCCAGCAGTGTTAAACCAAAACAGGCAATTATTGCACCGTGGTATCATACTGTAAGTGATTTGCTATGCTGCAGATTTTAGTAAAGAAATCTATTTAGTTTATGTGAGTAAAAGAGCAAGTTTTATATAAAACTGTAGCACATTGGGACAATATTAGACTCTAAAGGGAAATGTTGCCAGCTATATTCACTGTATATCACAGCATGGGACGTTGTTTTTGCTGTTCATTTTTAATTTAATATCCACCTTCTATATGGCACTGACACAATATAAACCTCCCTGTGTGTTACAGTCATTAATATTAACAGTAATCTATTCACCTCTGTTAGGCACTATTAAATAACTGTGATCCCAGGTCGATTCTATAATACCTAATTTTTCTGAAATGAATGGGGCAACACAACTGGTTCTTGAAGATTTCTCCCTCTCCTTTGAGTGCCAGAAATAAATTCACTGTATTTTGGGAAAAAAATAATTAATGTTAAATTGAACACAGGATTGCAGAAAATGTGATAATAAGAGAATGTATTTGGTATTTTATGCATGTTGATTCTATCACCCTTGCTTACCTCTTTACTATCCAAAGTTTAGCAGGCATGACCTGGGTTTGTTTCGTGGAATACAGCATCTGGGGATTACGGTAAATGTTCCTAATCTGCACAGGGCAAGGAATTCACTCTATAACCACAGAGCTATCAGCATGGGCTGCCCCAAGAAGAGTGGGCAGACAGAATCAGTTAACCTGCCAGTCACACATGTTTGGCTGGCATACCTCTTTTCAGACAGACCCACCATCACAGATGGGCCTGGCCATTTGTTCTTCCCCTCCATACCTACCTTTGTTGGGAGATATGCACTCTTATACTCAAACAAGCTAATTATCTCAAATTCAACAGTCACATTTATTTTTGACCCCATTAAATCACTCAGAAATGTTTTAAACCAAGTTTGCACAACCTGTTAAAAATCATTTCATGAAACAGCCAACACCCATGTTTTATTAATGAAACAGATAGCCAAAGAATCATAGGAGTTGTAGTTAAAAACATCTGGAGGGGGTAGAGCAGATTGGGCAGGCCTGTTTTAACTGAACACTACAAGCACAATAACCATTGTGATTATGATGCCAGGCGTGCCCTAATACTCAACCAATATATGCAGTCAAACCATAGTTGAACAGTTTGACCATTTACCTGGACTGTTGGACATCACTTCCTGCCTTTTCTCTTTGCTCTGGAGCGCTGAAAACTCCTGCTAGGAACTTCTGTTAGTTCTCCTCAGCTAATTATTATTATTTTTTTTTTGTGCATGATATCAATACATACAAGCTCGGAGTTCTCCATCAGCAATCCTCAAGCATGTTGTCATGCGTAACTGTTGGAGTACTTGAGAAAACATTCACATTTTTAAATATAATATAGTAACAACAGATACAGCTGTGCTTCCATGGCTAGTCATAAGGAAGAGATTACACTAGAGTGTCGTGTCAGCGAAATTGTTGCTAACAAGCATGAAAAGTAGAGTGTACTGGGGAAGCTATAGCATGAAAATGCTAAAACAAAGATGTGTACCACTGGCTGGTGCTGGGAAAGGCAAATATGGCTATTCAAACTCTGCTAATCCCCCCTGTCAGGATGCTTAAGGTATAGTGTAAGAGAGTACGAAAAAACAAACTGGTGGAAAGATGCCCTAATAATAACTGTTAGTGGTCCTTAAGTTCCTATTCCCTAAAGTAAAATGTTACTTTAACCCCTTAAGGACACATGACATGTGTGACATGTAATGATCCCCTTTTATTCCAGAAGTTTGGTCCTTAAGGGGTTAACATGGTAGGCCCAGCACAGTGCTGTATAATAAAGGACATGTAGTTATAGCAGAAGGAGTAGATGAGAGCAGGCTAAAAGACAAGGTGAGCTATAGAGAACGCTATGCCATAATTATTAAATATAATAACGTGATAGTCCCATAGCGTGGACTGGGTTGGTGCCACTTGGAGAGATTCGCTCAACCTATGCCGGCTGTTGGCTTGCTCAGGTGCTGGGAGAGTCCCAGGATTCTGCAGAGGGAGCGCACTGGGGGACAGACCTCCCCCGCCCCAGGCCGTTATGCAAGCAAGCATCACTGATCCATGGGCATGGGGGCTCAAAGAGTCCATGTTGGAGAGACAGAAGGCCCTGTTGTGTCTCTGCTGGAAGAGGATGGTCTCCTGCCTGTGTGGTCGATGCGTCAGGGTCTTGCCCTTAGTAGCATTTGGCCCAGGTGGGCTTGAAACACGGGTTCCTTGTGCTTGGGACATTAAAGCACCCGGAGGTGTCCCACCACCCCCATTCTGCTCCCGGTCTCCTTTGCAGGCTGATGTTGTACATCAGTAATCCGTCTTGCCTCCAAGGTGTCCCAAAAGCGGTCAAAGATTGCGTCTGAGTTAATTTATGCAGTGCAAGGCCAATTCATTGGTGAAGATTATAAACTGGTCACTGTCTGTCCATGAGTTAAACCATGCTTAGCTCATGGCTCTTTAAGAGGCAAGCAGCAGCACCTAGCATAACTCCGCTAAGAAGTTAAACCAGTCTAGGTATGATGACTTTGACGAGGCGCGAGGGCACTCCTATCATCCCCACAGCCATAACAGCGTACTGTAGTGGTTATAGTGCATGTAGTGTTCCTTTAATTTAAGCTCACATCATGCAAAAATACATTTAACAGGTCAAAGAAGTACATTAAAGTCATTGAGCGTGCCTATTTTTATTGTCCAAGAAAGTTTGCATTTTATAGCATGCTTCAATCACTGGTTTCAGATAGTGTGAATGAATTGTCCTCTTACATTGCTATAACAGTCTACACATATTTTTTTCATGTTAAATATACGCAGAAAAATATTCATGGAAATTGATTAAAGGACCGCTATAGTGCCAGGAAAACACTTGTTTTCCTGGCACTATAGTGCCCTGAGGGTGCCCCCACCCTCCGGGTCCCCCTCCCACCGGGCTCTGGCGAGAGGAAGGGGTTAAAAATCTTCCCTTTCTCCAGCTCCGGGAGGGGAGCTCTCCTCCTCCTCCTCTCCTCCTTCATTGCGACGTCATCGGCTGAATGCGCATGCGCGACAGGAGCCGCGCGCGCGCATTCAGCCAGTTCATAGGAAAGCATTTACAATGCTTTCCTGTGGACGCTGGCGTCTTCTCACTGTGATTTTCACAGTGAGAATCACGCAAGCGCCTCTAGCGGCTGTCAAGAGAGCCACTAGAGGCTGGATTAACCCTATTATAAACATAGCAGTTTCTCTGAAACTGCTATGTTTATATATTAAAAAAAAAAAAAAAAGGGTTAACCCTAGCTGGACCAGGCACCCAGACCACTTCATTAAGCTGAAGTGGTCTGGGTGCCTATAGTGGTCCTTTAAGTGTACAAACTTTTTTTGGCTTTTGCTTTTGTGGGCTCTAAAAGGTATTTATTGGACTACTGAACAGTAACTGACATCCGTAAGGAACATGTGTCCTTGAAATTACCCACTTGTAGAATAGAAAGGTTTGACTTATATTATTTCTTTAGTGCCAAAAAATTCTGTAGTGCTTTACAATGGGTGGACTAACAAACATGTAATTGTAACCAGACAAGTTGGACACACAGGAACAGAGGGGTTGAGGGCAGTGCTCAATGAGCTTACATGCTAGAGGGAGTATACAGGGAGTGCAGAATTATTAGGCAAGTTGTATTTTTGAGGATTAATTTTATTATTGAACAACAACCATGTTCTCAATGAACCCAAAAAACTCATTAATATCAAAGCTGAATATTTTTGGAAGTAGTTTTTAGTTTGTTTTTAGTTATAGCTATGTTAGGGGGATATCTGTGTGTGCAGGTGACTATTACTGTGCATAATTATTAGGCAACTTAACAAAAAACAAATATATACCCATTTCAATTATTTATTATTACCAGTGAAACCAATATAACATCTCAACATTCACAAATATACATTTCTGACATTCAAAAACAAAACAAAAACAAATCAGTGACCAATATAGCCACCTTTCTTTGCAAGGACACTCAAAAGCCTGCCATCCATGGATTCTGTCAGTGTTTTGATCTGTTCACCATCAACATTGCGTGCAGCAGCAACCACAGCCTCCCAGACACTGTTCAGAGAGGTGTACTGTTTTCCCTCCTTGTAAATCTCACATTTGATGATGGACCACAGGTTCTCAATGGGGTTCAGATCAGGTGAACAAGGAGGCCATGTCATTAGATTTTCTTCTTTTATACCCTTTCTTGCCAGCCACGCTGTGGAGTACTTGGACGCGTGTGATGGAGCATTGTCCTGCATGAAAATCATGTTTTTCTTGAAGGATGCAGACTTCTTCCTGTACCACTGCTTGAAGAAGGTGTCTTCCAGGAACTGGCAGTAGGACTGGGAGTTGAGCTTGACTCCATCCTCAACCCGAAAAGGCCCCACAAGCTCATCTTTGATGATACCAGCCCAAACCAGTACTCCACCTCCACCTTGCTGGCGTCTGAGTTGGACTGGAGCTCTCTGCCCTTTACCAATCCAGCCACGGGCCCATCCATCTGGCCCATCAAGACTCACTCTCATTTCATCAGTCCATAAAACCTTAGAAAAATCAGTCTTGAGATATTTCTTGGCCCAGTCTTGACGTTTCAGCTTGTGTGTCTTGTTCAGTGGTGGTCGTCTTTCAGCCTTTCTTACCTTGGCCATGTCTCTGAGTATTGCACACCTTGTGCTTTTGGGCACTCCAGTGATGTTGCAGCTCTGAAATATGGCCAAACTGGTGGCAAGTGGCATCGTGGCAGCTGCACGCTTGACTTTTCTCAGTTCATGGGCAGTTATTTTGCGCCTTGGTTTTTCCACACGCTTCTTGCGACCCTGTTGACTATTTTGAATGAAACGCTTGATTGTTCGATGATCACGCTTCAGAAGCTTTGCAATTTTAAGAGTGCTGCATCCCTCTGCAAGATATCTCACTATTTTTGACTTTTCTGAGCCTGTCAAGTCCTTCTTTTGACCCATTTTGCCAAAGGAAAGGAAGTTGCCTAATAATTATGCACACCTGATATAGGGTGTTGATGTCATTAGACCACACCCCTTCTCATTACAGAGATGCACATCACCTAATATGCTTAATTGGTAGTAGGCTTTCGAGCCTATACAGCTTGGAGTAAGACAACATGCATAAAGAGGATGATGTGGTCAAAATACTAATTTGCCTAATAATTCTGCACTCCCTGTAGTGACACAAAAGGCGAGGGAAGTAGTAGGGAAGTAGATTGGTAGAATAGTATTCACTGAAGATTTAGTGTGTTTTTTTTTAATGACAGTTGCAGGAGAGTAATCAATTGGGAGCTATTAACAGCTTAATTGATACACTTTTGTGAAGAAGTGAGTTTTTAATGATTTTTTGAAGGAGTGGAGACTGGGTGAAAGTCTAATAGATGTCAGGGTTTACCTGAGTTGGGAGTCCGGCAGGCAGATATATATGCTCACCCTTGCAAGTAAACACAGGCCGAGGTGGTCAGGTAAGAATTCACCTGGCCTGTGAGTCAGTGCAAGGGGGCTGTACAGGATAATTCTCCAAGTCGCAGTACAGGAACGGATAAAGCAGGAGAATCGTCGTGGGTAAGCCAAAGGTCAGAGGGTGCCAGAAATCAGGATTAACGAGAAGAAAGCCGAGGTCAGAGGATGCCAGAAGTCAGGATATACGGAGTAACAAGCCATGGTCAGGAATCAACAGGAGCACACTGGAACACAAACATCGATACGGAACCAGAGTCAAGGAACTGACACTGCCTTCTGGGAGAGGCAGTGTTTTATACCTGGCTAATGAGACCATCATTTTCAGGTGTACCAAGAGTGACAGGAGTAATTCCAATGCATGTCCAGCCCCCAGTGCTGGATACAAGACAGAGCTAGAATGGTTGCTCAGAGGTAACATAGCAGCCCCAGGACTGTAAATTACCCAGGTTCAAATCCACTACTAGGTACTCCTGGGACAACCTCGTCTGGCACTCCGGAAGTTACAGTGGGAACCATGACAATAGAGAAGGGAAAGAAGTTCCACAGGAAGGTTATTAACTAAAGTGATAATTACCGGGTAATCAAAGTGAATTTTTAAAAAAAAAATCTTTATTTTTGTGTGCTGCAAACTCACAATAGGTTTATCATGTGCATCACAGTTTGTGTTAACAGTTTTCAACAGCGTTTATACAATACATGCGTCATGTCTTAGCACAAAATTTCCTTGTTAGTGATAACAAGCGTGTAATCCTAGGTGGTGAGTGGAGTCTAGAATGCTTGTGGGATTCTTAGTTGATTGTGGTTTTGTTACCTAGGTCGTGGGTCGGATGTAGGGGTCTGACCTGGTGAAGTGTTATCAGTGGGTTGGTCATGGCACTGGTTCCATATTTGGGTCAGCAGGGGTTTGGTAGTAGTTGCTATTCCGCTTGGCGAGTCATGCGAGTAAGTCTATGGTACGCTCTCGTAGGAAGTATTAAGCTAGTGACGTAACTTGTGTAACACGAGCAAATATGCGTGAACAGTAAATGGAGTATAGGCATTATGTAACATTAACATTTTGTGTTGCCTTTGAACAGGCAGGGACAGGAGACTTCTCCCCCCCAAACCGTCAAGTGGTCTGAGTGTCCATTCTCTGCCTTCTTGGTATGAATATTTCCGCGGTTGCCGGATTCCAGGCTTGGGTGGTGTTTTGGTCGGGCTTGTTTGGTAGGCCCAGTTTTGTTAGGAGTGCGGGAGCTTCAGTCCCCGAGGAGAGTTTGTCTGTGGTTCCCTGGTGGGTGATTAGGAAGGAGCGTGGGTTTCCCCAGCTGTATGGTATCCCTGCTGTATGCAGCTGACTGGTGAGATCACTGAGTGATTTTCTTCATTGGAGAGTGGTTTTGGTTAAGTCCTGATAGAAGGTTAGTTGGGACTCTTCGAAATCAAGTGGGGTCTTGCCTTTGATTGCATTCATGATGTGCCCCTTGTTTTGGGGTAGGACGCAGCGGACGATGACATCTCCGTCCAGCGTAGTAGTGGCCCTAGGAGGTGTGGGTAGGCGGTATATTCCTGCGAATGTGAGCTTCCTTACCGTTGCAGGTGGTAGCAGTGATTGCATGAGTCTTCTCATATAGTGCGGCAGGTCCTCTTTGGTTACTGAGGCGGGTATGCCCCTGATTTTGATGTGGTTGAGTCGATTTTTATCCTCTTGCGCCGCCATTTGTACTGTCAGGAGGTGGTGGATGTGTTGCAGCTGAAGGAGGGATTCTTTCAGTGTGGAGATTTCTCCCTGGATTACCCTTATTTTTCCCTCTGTATTAACTACTTTCTCAGTGATCTGTTGCATGCTCGTTTTGAGTGCAGGTAAGTCTGCTGCCAGTAGGCGTTGTATGTCCTGCAGCATGGTTTGCATTTGTTGTAGGTCCTGCTTGGTGGCCGGATCTGCAGTTCCCTGCTGGGGTGTCGGTTTGGGTGGCATTGGCTGTGTAAGTTGTATGGCCCCCTGTGTGACTCCCTGAGGGGTTTGATCTGGGGGGATAGCCTTGTGTGATGGGTCTGGGCCCTGTTCGGCCGCCATTTTGGCGAGTGCCTGCCGTTGTAATAGGGCGCTTATATCAGGCTGTGTTGTGGCATCAAAGTGAATTTTAAATATAAGGTCAAAATAGCAAAATCTGAAAGATTCTCCAAGTCTAGTTCAGCTAATTTGCCCTTAAATTTGAAATTCATGGTGGCGGGGCTTGGACGCCATCCTGGAGGGTCGCAGGCAGATTGAGCTCCTGCCTAAAATGGAAAAGCACTCTAATGGGGGCAAATACCCCGACACAGATAGTCCCCACACAAACAATATCATACTGCATCGCTGGAGTGACTTTGAAGCTCCATACTTTTGGGGCCTAGTGCTGCCCTGACGGGAGAAACGGCCGATTGCTACGTCTGAGGTGACCCGGGCTTTTATTCTTGTGGACAGTCTGAGCCCCGTACTCCCCCACCCTCTGGGCCAGCGTAGGATACCCAGCCCCCACCAAGCGAGCACTTACCTTTACAATGCTCCTGGGCGACACCAGTGAAGACGGACTACATGCGGCTCCCTCAAAATGGCAAACAGCAACGCTGCACAAACTCACCTGCAACTCAGCAGCTGGGAAGCAGATTTCCTGCAAAGATTTGACAACATGTGCCAGCAGTATTCGAGAAACTGGGAGGAACGGCGAAAGCCATATATGATGCCCTCACCCATGGTGCTACCTCCAGACAGATCTCCAGTTCGATGTCCCTCCCCCCTCGGCGGAGAACCCAGAAGTTCACACAACTACCCGCAGTCCACTCCGAAGCCCTCTTCCAGGGATGGTGAGAGAGACTTATGGCCATGGGGAACTGGGTCCCGCTAACACCTGGGACTGTTGTGATGCTGCACGTCTCAGCAACACGGGAGGCGCGAATTCCCTGCTGCATCTGCCTGCACTCGGTCTGACCATCACGGGCATAGACTATCTTTAACTGGTCTGAGAATACATCCAGGCTATGCACTAAAATTTAAAGGACCACTATAGGCACCCAGACCACTTCAGCTCAATAAAGTGGTCTGGGTGCCAGGTTTATCTAGGGTTAACCCCGCAGTTGTAAACATAGCAATTTCAGAGAAACTGCTATGTTTACAATAGGGTTAATCCAGCCTCTAGTGGCTGTCTCATTGACAGCCGCTAGAGATGCTTCCGCGCTTCTCACTGTGATTTTCACAGTGAGAAGACGCCAACATCCATAGGAAATCATTGAGAAATGCTTTCCTATGGACTGATTGAATGTGCACGCGGCTCTGGCCGCGCATGCTCATTCAGCGGATGACGTCGTAAGAGGGAGGAGAGTCCCCAGGGCTGAGGCAACCCGGTGCTGGAGAAAGGTAAGAATTTAACCCTTTCCTCCCCCTTCAGCCCGGCTGGAGTGGGACCCAGAGTTTGTTTTCCTGGCACTATAGTGGTCCTTTAATTTTGTAATTTCTGTTTTCCCCCACAACTTGATTTTAATCTGAATTTTTTAAGCCCCTTCACTTGCAACCAACGTTGAGGTTTTAATATTAGCCCTATGTTTACATAGCTAGGTGGCCTTACTTTTAAGCATACGCTGGCATTGTTAAAAAGCTACTACTCATGGGCATAGTGCCCAGAATCTAAATCAGTTTATGCAACCAGTGCTTTTACCACACATTTTACCCTGTTAACCTTCTCAATCCAGTCTTTCTAGCTTGCATTATTTACATAAAATGTGCAGACTAAGCTCTACGGTTTCGTTTTCTCATGACATGTTTATAACAATTTATCTTGCTTAACAGTATGAATTGATGCCATGTACCATCCAAGCAACACAACAAAATAAAGAATGAAAAAAAATAACAATTTTAATTCATTTTAATCCCTATTGTCTCTTCAAAGAGCTTTGTATTTTGCATCATCTGAAAACAGAATCATTATAGCTTTACCCTGTTTATTGGGGACATTTAGAATGTCAATTTTTAATGGTTTAATTTTACTTGTATATATAATGGTCTTTTATATAGTGCATGTCCACTTTAGGAACCTGCAGAGTATCTGCCTGTCTTCTAATACGGCTCTTATATAACATGATTTGAACTCTTGCACCATGTCCAAAGCCTTTGCATAACAGTAACACTCCAACACGTAAGTAAAAGTATTTCAATACACGAACATATAAAAATAATAACCAGGCTGGGACAATACAAGATTTTAACTGGAAATAAATATTCTAAAAATATTAGTGTTTTAGCTATTATTTGTTGATAAAAAAACATTATTTAGGTTAATCAAAACAAGCAATGTGTTTAATGACCTTCTCGTTTATTTCTTTCCAATGCAATTTTTTTGGGTAGGATATAAATAGTTTTAACATACACTGTATATATCAGAGTTTACTGCTGCAAGGGGCTGTCATTCTGAATACAATATACTGTACTTTTATATAATATTGCATTGCCAATTACTTTTTCATAAAGGTAACATTGTTAAACACATACAGTCCATCAAACCTCCCATTTATAAATTTGTTCAGCTGGAAGATGCCAGTTACAATTCATATTTTAATGAAAAATATAAGTTCAATTGTGCATATATTCCTATTTGAAATGATTTAAGAATTTATATTCCCCTTATGCAATATATTGCCTGAATCAGTAGGCTATTATTATACCTATAAAGAGAATTGTGCTGACTTTCATATAATGGTTAAGTTGCCTCATGTATACTTAATGGGTTTATAGTCAATTTGTAATACATTTGGCATTTATCTTGTTCCATCTGGTGAAAGTGTATACTTGTTTCAGCTTATTCTAAGCAGTTTTTTATGGTCGGAAAGGAAACTTTGAAAAGGCGCACTGCTATGTGAAACACTAGTACTTTAATTAATGACTGAAACACAATTAAACTAGCGTACATTTAATTAAAACTCAGTTTACAATCTTCACAGCAGTGGGTGGAAAAAGTGGTATATTGATTGCATTTAAATGGCCTTTTTTTTTTTTTTTTTTACTGTACAGCTCTGTGGAGAATATGGTCACTTCATAAATACAATTATAACAAACATAATAAGGGTTTATTCACTAAACACCAACGTAACAAATTAAAAATCAATAGCAAAATCTAGGATCAAATAGCCATGCTGTGTCCATGGTGGAGAACTTTTTACAAAACAGCTGCTTCAAACAAAATTTTGCAATTTTGTTTTCAATTTGCACAAATTGTGTTTAGTGAATAAATCCCAACAATTACAATGACAAAATTAAAATTGTAGATTTAGAAACAAACTACTAAGTATTTCTATGAGCTGGCTGCCAAATTTTATGAGCATTTGCATTTGTGACATATTTTTAAGACTCTAGCGATGCTGTCATCTGAATGCCGTAGATGCTACATCCATTAACTACCTTTGGGCAGTATTAAATACTAAACTGAATTAATTCTGCACCTGCTATGCGTGTTCTGTAAATGTGCTAAAAATGTGGTATGACCGAGTGTTTTAGAATTTAGTATTTCTGCAGTGACCTATTCTTTGACAGTTTTGTAGTATAAAACAAAATATATAAAATCTCAAAAATGAATTTAACTAACTTTAATTAGACTTTTCCAAATGTAAAAATGGCCCATATTACAATTATTGATGGTAACTACTGGTAAGCACTGATTATTATACTATGCCTATTCTGGCATTTGGGAACCCATTGAATTGGCATAGGGACCCACATTTGGATCACAACACAGGAGTGAAGAACCAATTAATTGTAACGTCAAACTAAAGCCATTCTTAACCCCTTAAGGACTGGACCTTTTTTGCGATGTTGTACATTTGCGACCAGGCATATTTTTACACTTTTGTGGTGTTTGTGTTTGGCTGTAATTTTCCGCTTTCTCATTTACTGTTCCCATACAAATTATATATTGTTTTTTCAGGACAAAAGGGGCTTTCTTTACATACCATTATTTATATAAACTCATGTATTTTAATTTAAAAAAAATAAAAAAATATGATGAAAAATTGAAAAAAATACATGTTTTTTGACTTTTACTTGAAAAATCTTTTACTCATCTACAAAAGCGAATGAAAAAAACTGCTAAATAGATTCAAAATTTTGTCCTGAGTTTAAAAATACCTAGTGTTTACGTGCTTTTTTGCTTTTTTTTGCATGTTATAGGGCTATAGGTACAAGTAGGATATTGTGGTTTCAAAACATACATTTTTAAAATTTATCAATAGTGACATTGTAACACTATTATCTGTCATAAATCTCTAAATAACACCCCACATGTACATATTTTTTTTTTAAAGTAGACAACCCAGGGTATTCAATATGGGGTATGTCCAGTCTTTTTTAGTAGCCACTTAGTCAAAAACACTGGCCAAAGTAAGCATTCATATTTGTTTGTGTGTGAAAAAAGTAAAAAAACTAAATTTAACGCTAATTTTGGCCAGTGTTTGTGACCAAGTGGTTACTAAAAAAGACTGGACATACCCCATTTGCAATACCTTGGGCTGTCTTCTTTTGCAAATGGTATGCCATCATGGGGGTAATTCTCATTCCTGGGCTACCATACGCTCTCAAAGGCAACGTAACCAACCTGGCCATTTTCAATGTAAAAAATATTTGACCCATATATTTGACCTTGTAACTTTCAAAAATGCTATAAAACCTGTACATGGGGGGTACTGTTTTACTCGGGAGACATCGCTGAACACAAATATTAGTGTTTAAAAACTGGAAAACGTATCACAACAATTATATCATCAGTAAAAGTGCTGTTTGTGTGTGAAAAATGCAAAAAAAGTCACTTTCACTGACAATATCATCGCTGTGATATGTTTTACTGTTTTGAATCACTAATATTTGTGTTCAGCGAAGTCTCCCGAGTAAAACAGTACCCCCCATGTACAGGTTTTAGGGTGTCGTAGAACGTTACAGGGTAAAATACAGTGCTAGCAAATTAAATTCTCTGGAATTTCGGCCTGGGTTGGCAGGCAGGTCCCTCAAATTGCAATCAATAAAATTACTGAATTATGTAAAAATATTACATAAATACGCACGTAGAATTTAAATATATATGCATATTTATATATTTGAAGTCTACGTGTATATTTATATAATTATTTATGTAATTTTGTAAATGGACATATGTATATTTCGTATTATTTTTATTTATTTATATATACATAGATATATATACAAATTCATTCTAAGTGTATTTTGATATAAATATATATATATTAATTTTAAAATACAGTTAGAATAAAATTTCATATAGATATATAATTTTTTTAATTTTTTTTATTATTATTTAAAAAATGTTTATTTAATTTAAATTACTTATTATTTATATTTTATAATGATATATATATACAATATATATAGTTATTATATATATTATATATATACGTGTGTAATTTAATTATAAGTGTATTTTTATATTAATATAAGTACATATTAATATAAAAATACACTTAGTATGACATTATATATATGATATATAGACATATATTATATAGATATAATATATGTCTATATATCATATATACACATATATAATTATTATTATTTTTTTTTATTAACACTAACTTTATTTTATTTTATGATTTTACACATGCAGGGAGACTGCCTGTCAGCACAGACAGTCCCCCTGCAGGCAGACACATGGACACCCATTGTGACCATGTGATCGCTGTGTTGAGCGATCACATGGCCACAGGGGTCCTAATTCAGTGTGGGGAGACTGTCTGGGCTGCAGGCAGTCTCCCCACACCGGGAGCCACGCTGATCGCCGCTGGGGGAACGACGGCGATCAGGTAAGTACCTCTGACCGTTAGGACGGTTCAGGACCGTCATCGGTCGGCAACGCAAAAATGCCGATGACGGTCCTGAACCGTCCTCGGTCGCGAAGGGGTTAAATGACCTCTAA